TTTTTTTTTTTTTTTTTTTCTTTTTTTGATGTATTTTTTTTAGTAGTAATAGAGAAGCAATCGAGATTTTATATTGAAAAAAATGTATTTAATAGCATTAGCAATGATGCTATAATGCATCGATTTTAAAATATGAAGTCGCGTTGTGGAAAGTAACCTTCCCATCATTAACTAAAAGATAGTATTTTTTTTTAATTGAAGTAATTTTTTTAAAAAAAAATTAAGTGTGTTTATTTTTTTATATTGTTGCCCTAACTGGAAAAAAATTCTGTATTCGCCACTGACTGCAGCCCACCAGTCGAGGAACTCCGCTGCATCTGCTCCTCCCGAAAACTCCGAAATCTCAACCCGAAACCCCATTTCCCAACGCGGGTCACCATCACCGTTCGTCGCCCGACGATAAGGCCTGTACAGCCCCTGGCCCGTGTCTTCTCGCCCCACTCCTTGCTGTTGCTGTCCGCCGCCATGGAAGTCCCGACCGCCACGTCCCTGGCCCCAGCCGCGACGGTATAGGTCACCACCATCGAGCTCGGCCCAATCCTGATCAAACCACCCACCGCGGCGCTGCTGACCGCCGCCGTGGAATCCCAGGCCGTCGTCATCCGGACCCCACTCGCGATGTCGTGGGTTGTCCTCCGCCAACCGCCCATCGCGGCGTTCGTGTTCGCCCTCCTCGAAGCCTAGCCCATTGCGGCACAAGTACTCACCGCCGTCAGGGCCTGCTCCGTCCCGAAAGAAACCCGACCCACGGTGCCCGAAGCCACTGTCTAGAAACCCTCTGTCGCCGTGTCCTCCCTGCGCGTTGAAGCTGTCCGCCCCACCGCGCTGTTGGTGCCCATCAGCGAACGGATTGTCGACGGTTAGGGTCTCCTCAAAACCGTCATCGCCGGGCGGTGGTGGTGGTGACCGCCGGCGGGGCGCCCCGCCCTAGCCACGTCCTCCACGACCACCGCGAAGCCCTCCGCGCGCGCCCCGGTCGCCGGCGTCGCGGTTCGTACGAACCTCCACCATCAAGGTTCGCATCGCATCACGCAAGTCGTCGATCCCCGATGAGGTATCCGTGAATTTATCGTCAATTCCATCAAAACGTTCATCTACCCGTTGGAAACGTTCGTCAATGGCGTTGTCAATTACGGTGTTCCTCTTCGACGACATCGTTGATCGTTGATGGTCTGCTGATACCAACTGATGTAGAACGTGAATAAGAAAGGGAAGATACGAGATACTCTCTCGTGAGTGGGTCGGGTCAAAGAAAGAAAAGTGTGGTCAGTCTGAACTGAGCAGTGCCCCGTACATACTAAAGAACTCACAATATCAGATTAATCTCAAAGTTATTCATCCTCTCCTATTGAAGAGAAAACAAATATATATTGTAGACTCTCCATAAACCCAACTTACTAAACAAGATAAAACCACATAATTATTTTCCTAATTCTAAATAACATAAATAAGGAAATCTAATAATAATAAGGGAAAAGGTAATAAAGTAATTAAATAAGCAACGACATCCGATCATATTTATCAAGGAATGCGAGGGCGATCTCGTCTCCATCACTTACTCATAGTTTATACTATATTATATTAACTGACTTGAAGGCGTGTATATAGTTACTCATAGTAATGTGCATATTTAGTGTAACAATTACCAATCAATATTCAACAGTTTCAGTAATAATTCCAAGTGTTTATTAGAACTATGACAATGCATGTATAGTTGTAAACCAAAGTATATATATGTGTGCTATGTTATCAAAAAATGCAGATTCTGTTACAAATTAAAAATGCAGATCAATGTGATGAAGTAATTCAACTTTATCTGTTCGATTCTACTTAAACATTACTATTTCATCAACATTGAATCCAAGGTGATTTTATGAATTATTTTGGAGATTAATTGTCTGGAATCACTCGATGAAATCGATCAAAGTATTTTTTTTAATTATTAGTTGTATGTTAATAGTTTTATCATTGTATTCAGTGACGGATCTAGAAATTTTAATGAAGGGAGCCCGATTTTAAATGTTAAATAACGAGTTTGTAGTTTAAGTAGAAACACTCATTTTATATGAAAATGTATTTACAATAAATAAATATAAATATTGGTACGTGTTCCATTAAAAACTTAGAAGTTGTACACTTCAAATTTTTACTTTATATATTTATAATTTAAGTTCAACATCTATAATTTATGGAAATATAAGTTTTTTGGTTGAAAATTTGATTCAAATGGAACTTGTACACAACATTACATAGCATTTTTTTTCATGAAAGTTTATCAAATGTACATATTTTTAAGAAAAAATAAATGAGGTTAAAATATGTGATTACACACACAAAAAAAAAAAGAGTAAAAAATCAACATTAAAAAATATAAATATCCAACTAATAAATAATCGGTTTTATAAATTTCTAAATCGATTTACAATTAAGAGACCAAAAGAGTAAATCATTATAATATTCTCGAAAGCTTATTTAAAATTTAAAACATAAGGGTTGTTAGCATATTTTTTAATAAATAAATAATATTATTAACTTAAATAAAAATAGCATATGAAATAAGTTTTAATTAGTAATATATTGTAATTATTTTTACATTTTGATACATATTTTATGCTATATATATATATATATATATATATATATATATATATATATATATATGATACATATCGATTTTTCAATTTTTAATAAATTTTAATTATTATATGTTTATTTTGTAGTATATATATACTGATTTTTTTTAGAAAATGAGGAGGTCCCTAGGCCCCATGTAGCTCCGTCAATGATTGTATTATAAGAATGTAAAATTCTTCGTTTCTTTATTTTCATACAAATATTTAGTTTCCAAACACCCAGTTGTTCACATTCGTTATATTATATATGATACATATCGATTTTTCGATTTTTAATAAATTTTAACTATTATATGTTTATTTTGTAGTATATATATACTGATTTTTTTTAGAAAATGAGGGGGTCCCTGGGCCCCATGTAACTCCGTCAATGATTGTATTATAAGAATGTAAATTTCTTCGTTTCTTTATTTTCATACAAATATTTAGTTTCCAAACACCCAGTTGTTCACATTCGTTATATTTACTTTTGAATGAATTAATTATTCTTTTTATTTTGCAAAATTGAATATATATTAAATAAATTAAATAATACTTCATAAAATAGTTTATAGAATACACAAAATAATATTTAAAAAAATTTTCTTCTTAATTATTTATATTTTTTATTTATTTTTTATTATACAATATGAATTTCATCTATTTTTTAAAACTGATAAGATCAGATTAACTTCCCCATTCTTATTCCTACTCCTATCCTTTTAGGTCAATTAAAACAATAGAACTCTCCCTATGTATATACAAAAGACGCGTATCACATTAAATCGATACCAGAATAACTAAGACCTAAAAGAGAGTTATGGATCTCAATCCCGTGGATACACGACGGCGACCGGGGTACGATTACCGCCACCACATCCAGATTGATGACGGGAGGAATATGGATTTGCACCGGCGTATGCAGGGCCGGGCTCGCTGCCAGTTCGACTTCCAGTTTCAGACCAATTTCATCCTGAAACCAAATGACGCCGGCGCCGGCGAGACCACCCTGTGCTCCGAGGCTTTCGTCGACGTCCCCTTCGACGGCGAGAACGAGTTCCAGTTCTTATTATGCTCCAGGCACCGGCTGAGGGAGTACTGGATGCCGGAGGCCCAGATCCAGGAATTGGTCAGCGAGGTGTTAGATTTGTGCCGATCCAAGATGTCATCGACGGCGGACAGGGATCCACGTGTCGTCCCCGTGACCGTGACGATCGACGTCTGCACGGTGCAGCAGGACGGCGAGGAATTGGACGCCGCCGTGGATCGGGCGATTACGATTGAGAATCTGCTGCCGGTGCTATTTTTCGACATCGATCGAGTTCTCAAGGAGATTTCATTTGATGCGAGGGGCATTCCCTGTACGCTGGCGACTTTCGTCTGGGTAGATATGGAGAGGTTCAGATTGGAGGATGTCGAGTTGGGCTTGGGCTTGATGAGGAGCTGCCCGATATGCGACCGGGCCCCCACACTCGGGGCCCAATTATCGACTATAGTATGCGGCCACACATTTCATTCCCACTGCATAGTTGGGTCACTGCTTAATAAGAAGAACTCGTGCCCGGTGTGCAATGTGCCCGTCTATGAAGAAAATCCAGATTGCTAATATATTATTTGCACGCATGTGTTTTAATCATCACATAAAATAGAAAAATTGCATTGTGTGGTTGGTTTATGGTGTTGCCTTGTCTTTTGGTTGTCTGGGATGTATGGCTTCAGCTTCGGGTTTTCTAGGCCTACTTTGGTGGTTGTATTCCTGTTGTTGGTCTTACCGTTTTTCTCGTGGTATTTTACTTCTCCTTTTTTTTTCTTGAAAAAAAAAAAAAATACATTCCTAAGAAGAACTTGTGCTCGGGTGTGATATGCAAAATGTTTTGGATCTGGTTGGATAACGAACAACTACTAGCTCCGAGCTCAGATAACCTTAAAAACGTCGGGAAGGGGTCTCGACAAAAAGTCTTCTTGCTCATGGGGAAACTGATATTAAAAGAATCTGGGTATCTTTAAAAACTTAGGGTGTCTTGATACTCAATGTATAAAAGCTCTAATTGCGAAAGAGTTCTTCTTTCCGAACTTGTCACGTCTCTAAGATTTGAGACTCACTCTTTATCCATGAAGCATTCTTTCCCTTTTTATCATACGACTCTTAGTTCTCGAGATTGTAAACCGCTACCTCTTACTTACATGTTGCAAGATAACCTTGGTCGCAACCACGACTTTTGCTTCCATGACTTGCGAGTTCTGAGGTCTACCTGGGTATTCGAGCTCTTAAGGCTCTCTAACATCTAACATATCCGAATTGGACCATCTTGTATCTTGAGCTACGTGAGTGGGCTCGTGGACAGGTTTAAGTGTTGGGAATCAGGTGATGAAGATTGTGTATCATGAATTGGGTGTTGTGGAAACTCGCACTATCGACATTGGTTAACATAAGAGGTTTGTGCTCAAAAGAGCGTTTTTTGGAATATTTTATTTCATTATGATTACATGTGCTATTTAAAGAAGAGAAATACTAAGCATATGAAGAAATTCTAATTCTAATGAAAGAAATATGATGAAGACGAGACCGCCATAGTATATCATAATAAATATGACCGACTTCGGGTTTAGCCTATTTATTTTAACGTTATTATTCAAACTCTTTTATTTTATTTCCTTTAGTTATTTATTTATTTTGAGTAGGCAAATAATTAACTTGCAGTTGTTAGGCAAGGGTAGACTTTCTCTTATTTATATACTATCTCAAAGAGGAGAGAAACAGTTGATGATTGAATAAAAATTTACTGTTTGTTCTTTTTACGAGAGAGTATCTCATTATCTGCCCAATTGTACTACGCTCGTGGGGAGTTTTGATGAAACCGGATTCGTTGTGGGTTCGTATCTTAAAGGCCAACCTTATCGTTATCAACTGCTTTCAACCTTCAAAATGTTGTATCATGGGCTTGAGCCACCTACGAGTCTAGACATCAGTTGGTATCCAGAGACCAACGACGATCCGCGATGTCGCCAAAGAGGAACACCACGACCGACAACATCATTGACGATCGATTTCAGAGGATGGACGATCGGATTCAAGGGATGAATGACCGATTTACGGACCTATCTGTCGGGGTCGAGGAGATTCGACTGGCAATGCGAACCATGATGGACGAGGTGCGTACGAACCGCGACGTCGGCGACCGAGGCGCGCGGGGAGGTTTCGCGGAGGTCGGGGAGGACGCGGCTTTGGCGGGGCGCCTCGCCGGAGTTCACCTCCGCCTCTGTCCGGCGATGACGAGGACGAGGAAACAATTATCCTCGACAATCCGTTCGCGACGGAACAGCGCCTCGGGCATGGCGGGCGTCGTCAGTTCCACGAGTTTGCGGGCGGCGAGGAGAGGAGGCGTGATCCTAGGGTTTACCGCAGGGATGCGTTTGTGGAAGATGACAGTGACGGGAGTTTGACGACGGGTTTGGACGTATCCCCGATGCAGGTCACGAGCGCAGGCATCGCGCCTCTCCACGCGAAGGCTCGGACTCAGATTTCGAGGAGGAAGTGGTGCGCGATCGTGGCGGGGGCGGTTGCGGTAGGGATTTGCCATGGCGAAGGGCATTCGGAGGCGGCGATGAGGCTGAGAGTTTTGGTCAGTGCCACTGTGACGGCAGACGCCCGATAGAAGGGGGCGATGAGTCACGATGGGAAGCGGGGATGAGAGTGGACATTCCGGAGTTTGCTAGCGGGGTGGACGGTGCGGAGTTTCTTGACTGGTGGGCTGCCTTTGAGGCCGTCCTTCGGTTTAAAGGAGTTCCAGAAGAGAGACGTGTTGCTTTGGTCGCAACTCGTTTTCGAGGCAGGGCGGCAACGTGGTGGATGCAACTCACAAGTATGCAGCATCGTCAGGGGAAACTGGAATTATCCTCTTGGATGAAATTTCGTAAATATGTAGAGCGGGAGTTCATGCCATACAATTACGTTAGCATCGTGTACCAACATGTGCAGAATTTGCGACAGGGATCTCGTTCGGTGGATGAATTTACATCAGAATTTTATTGTCTCTTGACTCGTGTTGAATTACGAGAGACGAAGAATCAGTTGGTTTCCCGTTATGTTGGAGGATTAAGGCCTTCCTTGCGGGATACATTGAACCTCTTTCGCCCGGATTCCGTGTCAGATGCTCACCAACGCGCCATTCTTGTTGAGATTCAGTTAGCACAAAGGCCAGTGGGCACTTTTGGATCGTCATCACGACCAAGCGGGCCATTGAGCAATGTCGCCTTCCAACCGCGGCCCGTGGTCTCGACGAGTGGTGGTACGAGCAAGGGAAGTGCAACAGCGCGTGTGCCGGGTTGTGGCGACCCTTCTCAACGGACTGTTGGGGGTAACGACGCACAACTTTCTCCGGCAGCTTCGCGTGCAGTTGTCGGGCTTCGTTGTTTTGGATGCAGCGAGGTGGGCCACCGTCAGGCAGTGTGTCCAAAGGGGGGTGCCTCTCGGGCCTTATTCGCCGAGGAGGTTGAGGACGTTGTCACCAGCGAGGATTATGTGGGACCACCGGTGTACGATGTTGACTCTGGCGATGTTGAGGAGTATGTTACTAGAGACGTGGGGATTGCACTTGTCATTCGGCGTACTTGTTTGATTCCGAGAGGGGCGAGTGATACAACGGTGGAGAGGCACCACCTTTTCGAGTCTACTTGTACGGTAGGTTCAAAGGTTTATCGTTTTGTCATTGACTCGGGCTCTTGTGAGAATGTGATATCTCAGGAGGTAGTCGACAAGTTACAGCTCTTTACTGAGCCTCACCCACAGTCGTATACTCTCGCATGGATACAGAAAGGTACGACCGTTAAGGTTGATCTTCGCGCACTTGTTTCCTTTTCCATTGGTAATAAATATCGTGATCAGTTGTGGTGTGATGTGGTCCCGATGGACGCTTGTCACTTGTTGTTGGGTCATCCATGGCAGTATGATCGGGCAGCTACTCATGACGACCGACTCAACACGTATTCTTTTGTTTTTGGCGGAGTGAAGATTATTTTGGTTCCTACTGCACCTCGTTCTTTTCCAGTGTCGGGTTCCACTTGTCGGTCCTTATTCTCTCACGTGCGGCTTTTCTTCAGGAACTACGTACGTCTCCGTGGTGTTTATAGTTGGTTAGAGTCGACCCGGGGGAGGAGCGAACACTACCGTCTGCAATCAGGCCTCTCTTATCTGAGTTTGCTGATATGTTTCCCGAAGAGATTCCTTCAGGCCTGCCACCACTTCGAGAAATTCAACATCACATCGATTTTGTCCATGGGGCTTCTTTGCCCAATAGGCCTCACTACAGGATGAGCCCGTCAGAACATGAGGAGCTGAGACGGCAGGTGGAGGAACTCCTTCAGCGTGGGGTGGTACGGCGTAGCTTGAGCCTGTGCGTGGTGCCGACACTTTTGATACCGAAGAAAGACAGTTCGTGGCGTATGTGTGTTGACAGTCGCGCCATAAATAAGATCACAGTCCGGTACCGCTTTCCCATACCTCGGTTGGATGACCTCTTGGATCAGCTCCATGGTGCCACTCTTTTCACGAAAGTGGATCTTCGGAGTGGGTATCACCAGATTAGGATCCGGCCGGGTGAACAGTGGAAGACATCTTTCAAGATTCGAGAAAGGCTCTTTGAGTGGATGTTGATGCCTTTCGGTCTTTCCAATGCTCCGAGTACATTTGTGCGGGTGATGAACCAGACTTTACGTGACTTTATCGGCAAGAGTGTCATCGTTTATTTCGACGATATTCTTATTTATAGTCGGACGATGGACGAGCACCTACAGCATGTTTGTGAGGTACTACTTGTTTTGCGTGTTGAGTCCTTTTTTGCTTCTTCTCGTAAATGCTTTTTCTTGGTTGATTCTGTGTTGTTCTTGGGATTTGTAATGTCGGCCGGGGGCATTCGAGTGGATGAAGGTAATGTGGCCGCCATTCGTGATTGGCCGTCGCCGATGACTTTTACTGAGGCCCGCAGTTTTCACGGCCTCGCTTCCTTTTGCCAACGTTTCATTGCTCACTTTAGCACGATTACGGACTGGCAAGTCGTTTGTGTGGACCCCTGCGGCCGAAGATGCTTTCGCTCTTATTAAGAGCAAGTTGACGTCTGCTCCTGTGCTCGTGTTACCAGATTTCTCGAAGCCTTTTGAGCTTTCTTGTGACGCTTCGAAGGTTGGGATTGGCGCTGTTTTCGGGCAGGATGGTCGGCCGGTCTCGTTTTTTAGCCAGAAATTGTCTGGCCGAGGTCCCGCTATAGCACGTATGACATCGAATTCTATGCTGTTGTCCGGGCGGTTCGACATTGGAGGCACTATCTGTTCCATCACGAGTTCATCATGTACACGGACCACGAGGCCCTACGACACTTGGAGACACATGATAACATATCGGCTCGTCATGCCTCGTGGACGGCTTTTCTGCAGCAATTCACTTTTGTTCTCCGTCATCGTTCGGGTGCCTCCAACAGGGTGGCTGACGCATTGAGTCGGCGTGTGCTTTTGTTGACCGACATGCGAGTTTCTGTTGTTGGGTTTGATGTCTTGCGGGATTTATATGCTCATGATCCTTTCTTTGGCCCGATTGTCCGGCGGCTTGTTGTCGGCCCGGTCGACGACTACTTGCTTTCTGATGGGTTTCTCTTTCGGGATGTGCGATTGTGTGTTCCAGATTGTAACCTTCGCCAGAAGCTGATTTCGGATCTTCATGGTGTCGGGCACGTGGGCCGTGACCGTTCGGTTGCTTTTCTCGGGTGGTCCTATTTTTTGTCGTCCCTTCGGCATGACGTCGGCCAGTTTGTGGAGCGGTGTCGTGTTTGCTATGTCTCCAAGGGGATTGCATCGAATGCCGGGCTATATAGACCCCTGCCTATTCCCTCGCAACCATGGAGTGTTGTTAGTATGGACTTCGTGTTGGGTTTGCCCCGTACTCAACGAGGCTTCGACTCCATTTTGTGGTCGTGGATAGATTCTCGAAGATGGTGCACTTTATCCCATGCAAGTGAACCACGGACGCGGTTCATGTCACCCTGTTGTTCTTTTGGGAGGTTTACTGTCTCCATGGCCTTCCTTCCTCCATCGTGTCGGATCGCGACACTCGTTTTCTCAGTCATTTTTGGCGTAGCTTGTGGCGTATGGCGAAGACTCGCTTGGATTTTAGTAGTGCGTACCATCCCCAGACAGACGGCCAGGCGGAGGTCCTGAATCGTTCCTTGGGCAACCTCCTTCGTTGTTTAGTGGGTGACAATGTTCGCAGTTGGGATCAACGGTTGAGCCGGGCTGAATTTGCTCATAATTCGGCCATTAGTCGCGTCACGGGCTTGTCCCCATTCGAGGTTGTTTATGCGGTTCGTCCCTGGGGCCCTTCCGATTTGCTGGCTTTGCCGTCTTCGGTCGCGGGCGATCGGCGGACCTGATCGCCGACTTGCAGGCTACACACGCCGCGGTGCGAGCTCAATTGGAAGCCACGACCGCGAGCTACAAGTCCCGGGCGGACGTGCGCTGTCGCCATGTGGAGTTCTCGGTTGGCGATTTCATTTGGGCCGTGTTGACGAAAGACCGGTTCACGGCACACGAGTACAACAAATTGTCGGCCCGCAAGATTGGACCATCGAGGTAATTGAAAAAATAAATCCTAATGCTTATCGTCTTCGTTTGCCGTCCCATATTCGTACGTCTGACGTGTTCAACGTCAAGCATTTGGTGCCTTTTGTGGGGGATAATTCTAAGGAAGACGAGACCCGTTCGGATTCGAGGGAGGATGATGAAGACGAGACCACCATAGCATATCTTAATAAATATAACCGATTTCGAGTTTAGCCTATTTATTTTCTCGTTATTATTCGAACTCTTTTTATTTTATTTCCTTTAGTTATTTATTATTTTGAGTAGGCAAATTATTACCTTGCAGTTGTTGGGCAAGGGTAGACTTTCTCTTTATTTATATTTTATCTCAAAGAGGAGAGAAACAGATGATGATTGAATAAAAATTTACTGTTCGTTCTTTTTACGAGAGAGTTTCTCATTATCTGCCCAATTGTACTACGCTCTACATCAAAATATCTAAGCTCCTAAGAATCTCTAAAATAATCAAATACCTATAGTAGTTAGGAATGGAATTATAATAATAGTTATAATAGGATACTTGGCCGATTTACCTCTCAAGACTCGTCGTCCAACCTTGCGCCTCAAGCCTCGCGTGAAATTCTCGGTTATCACGTCGACAGGGCGTCCCAGGGCGCCCTGTTGACGCTCGCGTGCATTTAATGTGTCGTGCTACCCTTTGACTCTAGAATTGACTGGTCGACATGTTAGTCGGCGGAGATGTGATTTTCCATCATTAGGCATCAAGTTATCCTTATTTTATTGCCTTCTGCTCGGCATACTAGTCCAGCTTGAGTTTATGTCCCTGTATTGGTTTTAGCCTCGCTACCTCTTGCATCTCGGTTCTTCCCAATCTGAAGGCTGGCCTGCAAACCCAACTGGACTTACTGGATGTGGGCTTTCCTTTTCTCTCTCATGTGGGCTCCCTTTTCAACTCGGGGGTCAACAGTGTGTCTGAGTGAAGACACTCAAAATTAAAACCACACAGAAACCCAGTATCCAATTAGTTCATGTGACTCAACCGATAAAAACAGGTTGAAATCGATTTTTTTTTTCCATATTCAATGAGGCCCTCAGTAACAAGAACATTTCTCATTATACTTAGACTCCGGTGGGATGGAATGTTTCTGCATTCGAGAAGGCGGAGCCGGCCTCAAAGTAGTTTTCGCCGTGGTCTCAGGTGCTATGATGAGGTGTGCAGGTGGCCGTCTTCTCAGTGTTCTTCCGCTATGGCGAGCCCCGACGGTTTTCTTCGGTTTCGAGCGGCGGACCGTTTTTCCCCTTTTTGGGGAGATGCGGGGAAAATTCGGCAATCTCCACCGCACTGCTTCTCTCCTCCTGGTATGGGATGGCAGGATTGGCAGTCGAGGCCAGACCGAGGTCGGAGTATTGTGCTTGGGCCTAGTTTGCTTTGATGTCAATTATGGGGGGTTGATGTGGGGATCTCCAACGTAGAGCAGTGGCTTCTGTCTGGATTTGGGTTGGGGCTGTTGGAGTCGGGCTTAGTTAGGCGTTCTTCTGCAATTTTTGGGTTGGATTCCGGGGTTGTGGCTCGGTCCGTTTGGATGGAGGTCTGTTTGGCGTTGCTGTCGAGTTGCTTGGTGTAGTTTGTCTGCCGAGGGGAGGATTGTGTTATTGTATTTAGTTTTTCTAGTTGTTTTAGATTGGTTGTTAGTGTCAGTGTGTTTTTTCGTACAAAAACTGAATAAAGTCGCTAAGAGGATTTGCAAACCGCCTCCCAGCCTACTGCCTCTCGTGTAAAAACCAACCCATCACCACAGATCCATTTCTCTCTTTCTGTACATTTTTTTTTTTTTTTTTTTCGCATTCGTCCCTTTTTCCCACTAGGGTTTCTTTGTTTTAAGATGTCGTCCACTGAAGCTAAGACGGTCGTCCCGAATACATCCGACGGGGAGACTTCCGAGATGGATGAAGCTAAGACGGTCGCGCCGAAGACCTCCGACGGGGAGACGTTCGAGGTGGATGAAGTTAAGACGGTCGTCCTGAAGACCTCCGACGGGGAGAAGTTCGAGGTAGAGGAGGAGGTCGCCGTCGAGTCGCTGAAGATAAAACACGTAATTGAAAATGAATCCGCCGGCACCGTCATCTCGCTTCCCAATGTCTCGTCGGAGGTGCTGACGAGGGTAATTGAGTACTGCAGGCGTCACGCGTTCGGGGAGTTCGATGACACGTTGAAGGATTACGACGCCGAGTTCGTGAAGGTCGACAACGAGCTGCTATTTGAACTGATCTCGGTATTCTTTCAGCTTCCATCTCTGTATTTTCGATTCTTTTGTTTTGGACCTGGATTTTGTTGGCGATAGATCTGGCTTTTCCGCTTGTTTTTGTGGCGTTTACGGTTTTTGCCTCAATAGTTTGATGACTCTGGCGCTATGTTCTGTTCTGTTCTGTTCTGTTAATGCTAATTTTGTGCTTTGTTTGCTCTTTCATGACTTTGGGTTTTGTAACTCTGATCTTTTACAGGCTTCTTTGTTTTCTCTTGGTGTATTTTACCATTAGATCTTGGTTTTTTAACTGTACTATAGCTTGTTTATGTGGGGCTATGAACCAATGCTTTGATTATGCTGTTGTATACAAACTGTTCTAAGAATGTGCTGTGTGTAGGCGGTAGGCCTACATGCATTCAGGAGCAACCTCTGTGTTTATTGTTTCCTTTGTCATGATTGCTTTTGCGGTTTTGTTTCTTTTTTCGCGTCTCCCTTATTTTGAATTTATCGATTATATTGCTGAGTTTTTTTTGGTGAGCCTTGTTGAATTGTAGTATAAGTTTTATACATCCAAGGATTGAAGTAGTGCTAAATTCTAGTAGCATGGTCTGAAGTGTTTGCTCTATGCCATGAGTGATTTGTGGTACAAGGCTATCCTAGTGCTTGATTCAAGAAGCTTTGATACAAGTGAAGGTTATAGTATTGCTCTCGTCTTTTCAGGCTGCCCACTCCTTGAACATCCCAGGGTTGCTCGATATCACGTGCCAAGCTGCGGCCGACATGCTCAAGGGAATGACACCCGAGGAAGTCCGTGCTACTTACAATATCACTAACGACCTCACCCCGGAGGAGGAAGAGGAAATTCGCAAGGAGTACTGGTGGGCCTTTGGGCAGCTGTAGGGTGTCTTTTGAACAAGTGTTGAAAGTAGGAAATCTGGTATCATTTTATAATTGAAGACATTTCCCTATGTTAATTCTCATCTTCAAATCCAGTCCTTGTTTTGCTGCCTCCTGCCATGGCAGCTTTTTGTATTTTTGAGAAGTTTGCTGATTTGATGATTACGTTAATTCTGAATTTCTCAAGTAGTGCACTGTTGATTTTGCATGTTTTCGAGGAATTTAAAATAATCATCAGGGGCCTTCGATTGGAGTGAAAGCCATTAGAGTGCATGGGCTTAGCCCGTGAAATCTTGATGCCTGCGTGTGGGCTCTGTATCCTTTCTACATTCAGTTTCATTTCTTATATTTTGGGTTGGTTTGGTTACTAGTGAACATCACCATGCATCTCCTCAAAATATAAGGGTCGAATGTCTCTAAACTTAAGAGATGAACTTGAATAGAAAACGCACGACTGTGTATACGATATATTAATGTTTGATAATAAGAGCTCTTCAACGAAATAAGTCAGCTTGTGAACTCGACTTAGCTCATTACGGTTCTAACTAGGATCAGTTCATTTGGCTCACGTTTGGCTCGGCTCATTTTGATAAATAAACTTGAGCTCGTCGAAAGATCATTTGGTTACGAATCGGGTTGGGTTGGGCAGGATTCGGCTCAACTCAGCTCATCTCAGCTCGACAAGACATTAAGACTCGAAAATAGAAGCTTTTATGTAATTTTATAAAAATTTGGCTCATTAAGGTTCAAGCTGTTTTGTTAATATTAAATGAGGCGAGTTCAAGTTTGAGCACTTGCTCATTTATTAAACGAGTCAAACTAAAGGCATGAGTTCGAGCTCGACTCCACTTGTTTACACCTCCATGCATGAATTTGAATGGAAGTAGAATTAGCATTGTCCACTTGTTTACACCTCCATGCATGAATTTGAATGGAAGTAGAATTAGCATTGTGTAATATTTTTTTAAAATATAATGCATTTATTTTTTGTTTATTTAGTATTAAACAATATTATAATTGTTGGATTTCTTGGTAATTAATTCATAATTTTTACATCATCAATTAAAATGATTATAATCGAGTAGACTCATAAGTTGATAGTAGTCAGTTTTGTTTCAATCAAGTTAGAATAATTTTGAGTTATCCTTACTTAGGCCCAGGGCCATGATTACTCGAGGACCGACGAGTCATCCACCCTCTCGTTCACGTCTAAGGTAAGCTAGTCGATCTGTACTAATATAAAGCCATGCTTACAGGAACAAAGGCAGTCATATGCTTGTTTGGGCTGTAGCCCGGGTACCCCTCATCCAGTACATACTTTTACACTTTTACTTTGGAATGGTTATTGTATAAAATCAATAACTGTAAGTGGTGGGTCTTCGTTAACTAATAATTGTTAAAAAATATATATATATATATATAAAATTAGCTTTATTCACATCTCACATGTCCATAATTGTATCAGAGTTATATTCAGTCACTAAAATGGACTATTTTTTTAAGTATATATTAACCAAAATTGACCAGGAAATATTTGCCCACCCAAATTAACCACAGTTAGTTTTGCTCGTACGCCAAAACAATAATATTATGCAACCATTAATTTATTAGGATATTTATTAAAAGGCAAATAATGAATCCACTTATGATAAAATTTATGCGTTTTTGCCATTAATTTATATTTTAGAAAAATACTACGGTCCAGTTACGGTATCATCCCGTCGGCTGTTTTAATCGTTGGATCATCTATCTTATCTAACTACACGTGGATCCAACGGTTAAAATACCCGACGGAATGGTATCATAACGGGACCGTAGTATTTCCCTTTATTTTATACTTAGTTTCACCTTTTGTGTATTTATATATACTAATTAGTATTCTAATTATATTGTCATTTATGTTTGAATATTCCTTTATATTGCTTATTTTGTTCATTTTTCAATCTATATATTTCATATTCGATAATCAATATTGAATGTCTATTAAGTAATCAATTATTTATTTGGTGTATATGTTGGACTAATTTAGTGTTTAGTTTATCATATTTAAATTTTATTAATACATAATTTAATTTTAATTTAGTGTATATTGTACATTAATCTAGTATTTATTTTGGTCACTCTTAAAATTTATTTATAACATATGTGGGTTTTCATAAAAATAATTTTAGCCCGAGTATATATTGAATCCTGGCTCCGCCCCTGCATGCTCAAGGCTGTAGATCTAAGATTTTTGTGTGGTGATGAGACAAAAAACAAATTATAGGATCTTTTAAGGGAGATTTTGGCAGAATAAAGGGATGATCGGAGATGAAGGGATCGACTGAGCCGCACACTCACCCGGTCGATGATAGAAAAGAGAGGGTCAGTTGTGCCACCTTATATACGAGAAGGAAGTATGAGATACAAAAAAGAATGTGTGTATGGAAACAACTTCAGCGGGACGTGGCTTTATATAGAGTTGAGATATATATAACCCTTGATGCCCGCTCTCCTTCTAGCGCCATTCTGTTGACGGTCAGTCGCTAACAGTTAAATAAAGTATGTTTTTATGTTATATTTTAATGGTATGGGATATATATATAGATCGAAAAAAATAAATATGCATAAAAAGAAAATGAGACACTGATATTGCCAATGGATTGTGACGATCGGTAAGGAGAATGTTTCTTCGGGATTTTTATTGAATAATTGTATAGTAAGTGTACAACCGAGTATGGTAAGGATGTTGTTTTGCATGATCTTGGAATATGAGCTCATATGAGTGAAAGATAATGTGATTAATGTGAGGTGGGGATTATTTGATTAGGCGATGGTTGTTGGTGCGGGTGATGCTCTTTTGGACCCGGAGGTAGGTGTTTATACACGAAAAAATGTGAAAGAACATTAAATGTTATGTGTCAGTCATGGACGTAGGGTGATGCCAAGTGTATCTATGTATGTAGTGATTGATGGGACAGATTGGACGGTATCATCAATTTTATCAGTACTCAATTCAGACTATATGTGATCGACAAGCTTCCTCGAGAAGACTTGAAATGTTATCGGCGAGGATTGAAAAACCTAACCCTTTGTCTTGGACAGTTCGCAAGAGGGCTGATGGGCTTAATGGGCCATGTTCAACATGGGTTCAGCTTGCTGGGCTTACGTCTTTTGCATAGCTTTCTGATCGAATAATTTTTGGTACAACATGTTGTACCAGTGCTAGTCTATTGTGTTTGTAAAAAAATCAACTATAAAAATTTTTAATTCAACCCAAAAAAAAAAAAAATCAAGCACAAATTTAATTTGGTCACAATTTTACAGTCGTAAAATACTAAAATACTAGACATACTACAAAATTCTTTAATTTCAAAAACATCCTATTACGAAAACAATAACATTTTGGATAATTTTGCATGAACCTTGGGCTCATAATTCTTAGATGGGCCATTAATCAGATATGGGCTTTCTGGATAAGACAATATCAATGAATGACACATTGTCTTACGCTAAAATATGTTCGTTATATACTTTATTAGATGCTTCAACTGCTACCAAAAATTAGACTTGGTACCATTAAATTAACAAATAATAATAACATGAAAATTTTAAGAAATATTATTTTCTTCAGTAATAAAACAAATCAATTCTACTTTGGATTTTCAGTTATTAAATATATATTAACTTTAAAGTGTGGTTTATATATATATACATAGAGGGCTATTGATAATAGATTGAATCTATTTATGAAAATACTTTTAAATATTCTTTAGAAAATGAGAGTATACTAAAAATTTGTTAAAAAATCAAACATGGTTATCTTACTAGAATAGTTCATGAATAAGAAAGTAAACTCTACATTCTTGAAACTAAAAAATAAAGAAGCCATAATACTGCCAACTAAATTTATAAATTTGTTAAGCATGGGGTATTATTCAATAACTATTAAAAAGAATATTTCATGAATACTCAAATCGAGTATAAAATAATAATGAGTCTAATATGTGTTGTAAAATATATTGATAGTATTGAAAAATGTAATAGTTGATGGGAAAGAAAATATTTTCAAAATATTCTTTTGAGTTTAAAATGAGTTTATCGGTTGGAGAAATTGTTAAATATGATAGTTCTTTTAAAATGTGTTTGATAATAAAAGCTTGACAGGGAATACTTTAACAAAACAAGGATTTGTTAAAGGTTTAAAAAGATTAAAGCTTTACAGGGGATAATTGTAGTTTTTGTCTAGAGTTCTGATATATAGCTTGAACAATCATTGGAAGAGTGAGCTCAGGCTATAATTTTACTGTGATAATATGATCATATATTCATGATGTTAGGAAATATTTTATTTCCTATGTATCATCTAATTATGGGCAACATATTATATACAATTATATTATATTAGCTATTCAATTAATTAATGGACTCAATTAAGTGATTTAAATTAAGTAGAGTTCATGGGCTACATAAATTGATATGGACTTAATGAGTGGATACCTAATATTACTAGGGTTAGGTGATAATGGGTGGCCTACCCTATTAGTATATAAAGACCCATTTGGTTATGGTCCCCAACATACTAAATCAAACATAGTTCTCTTTTCTCCCCATCGGAATCTAGAACGACGGTCCCATATGAGGAATAAGGCGATTTAGTTGAGGAAGACCATAAAACCAACACCGTTCGTGATTGAGGATGTGTTCGTGATCCAAGTCATGTTCCATGGTGATCAAATCTATAAATCTACCTAAGGTACGCTTCCGCTATCTATGTTTGATTCTCGATTATTTGATATGAATGCTCCTGGGATAAAGCGATGATTTCGCATAAGGCTAATTCCAACAAGTGGTATCAGAGCTTTTTCATATTAAATTTTTGGGGATCGTTTAATCATCCATCATATGCGATATTCAGTTTTTCTTTTGTGTCGATTTATGGTTGCAATATCTATTCATGCCATATCGTTGGGATTTATTTTTGAAATCGCATGTCTATGTAAATAAATGATTCAGATTTTCAC